CACTAACTTCAGTTCATTTGTGCCTTGTACTGTAAATTAACAGTCACATCAGTAAATGCAAAACTGTTGTGAAAGCAGTTAGAATCTCTGGTAAGTCTCACCAAGTCATTGTTTTCAATAGAAAACATTAGGATCTAAGTTCTGAGAGTTATGAACTACATCTTTTGTCAATGACAATCTAGATAGAAAGATAGAACATACATAGAGAAGAAACAGGTTAGGATAGAGTATAGTCTTGTTTATGCATCTGACTTGCTGATAGTTTGCATGTTTACAGTCACTTGCAGCCATAAATACAGAGTAGTTTCTAGAGAAATTATCACAGAATCACAGAATGGCCAGGGTTGGAAGGGACCTGAAGAATCATGAATCTCCAACCCCCCTGCCACATGCAGGGCCACCAACCTCCACATTTAATACTTAGACCATTATATTAAAGCCTTCTCTGTACTACTTTGCACATCACAGCCAGACCACTAGCACTAAGGGAAATCGACTAGGCTCTCATACTTCCACAGCACATTTCTTCCAGTTAGATGAAAGTTTCTTCTAAAAAAATCTTGGCGGTCCCTTTACATTTTTTGGAGAAAGCTGGCTGTACCATGCTTATTCTGCACCTCCTTGAAATACTAAAAGAAATAATCCCGCCCCCCTCAGAAAATTTTAATGTTTCTTAATATCATATATTTTAAAGTATCTTCAGAGAGAATTTACATTTCATCTATGTGCAGCTGCAAGGGCACAAGTACACAACATTTTTACAGAGTGAAGGGCAAGTGATCTTACTGTCACTACTGGCCAGGGGGAAATAGTGAAAACTGGTGAGATCTTACTATAGGCACATGCCAGGAAGAATGTCAGGTTACAGCTCAGTATGGGCTTCAGGTGCACTGTAGCTACTGCCTGCCCAGAGCTGAGTGTCTAAGGAAAGGTAACTGTTGGTAGCAGATACATTAAGCTAAGAACTATTAAGATGTTAAAATAAGTAAAAGCTGGGAAACTTCTCACTAAGAGCTGTGTATGTAATATGTAGGGCAAAGAGGAGCTGCTCTGTGTTCTGCTGCAGCCTACTACAGAATCAGGCTGATGCACAGTATAGTAAACAAGAAGAAAAAAAGGGAAAATGTATCCTTAAATGTCTGTACTCCTACAGAAATGATGTGCTGATAGCTCTGTATTACTAATGATTTTTCCCTAAAAATAAACTGGGATGTGATTTTAGTTTTTTTAAAATGTAACATGCAAAAACTACTGAAGAACTAGTACAGACCAGTGAAGGAGAAAGGTCATCTGACCATGTTTGGGATTAGAGTTGCTCAGAGTATTTGCTAATGCTTCTTAGAGCAAGATCTGTAGTTTTTCTGGCTGGAATCAGAGATTACCTGAAGAGCAAAAGATTGCCCTTTCTGATTATTAGGTTTTTCAGCAGCTGAGCAGAATTGTGAATGGGACAAAATCTGCTGGAGGATAAGCAATGAATGTGGTACTTGTTATCCTGCACACCCAAACAGTAGTTTCCCTCTGTTTTCCCAGCTTCCTCATGGTCAACCTCTTTGCCTCACTGAAAAGATTCCTATTTCAGTTTCTCTGGGTTTGCTTCTTACACATGGTATTCAACGTACTGGAGTGCCCTGACAGTACTGTGTGTTTTCCCAAGTATAGTTATTAAGACTTGGCCTTACAAAACAGAAATTTGCAACAGAAATCTGTAAAATTTGGATGTGATTATCCTTGATAGCTAGGAGCACCAGAGCAAAAGATTAAATATATAACACAAGTAACACACAGAACTGAAATGGGAACCTGACTTGAACTGTGAAACCTGAGGGTGCATATTTCCTGAGGGCCACTAGATGACAGTAACGTAACTGATGGCTGCAACTACTCTTGGAGCTCCTGGAGGAAATGATGGGGGTTTAACAGACTCCTGGAAAGCAAAGTGTTTACCTGAAACCTATCTCTTAACCTAGAGCTCACCTGAACACTTTCATCAGACAGAGAGCATGCAACCATGGCCTGAGCTTCCACAGTTCAAGGTCTATGCAAATTAGCTTGGAGTGCTGTTGAAGAAGTGCTGAAGGTTTTCTGTTTAGCAGAACAGTCACACAGGTCTGCAGCTGGTATTATCACAATTAAAGCCATGTAAAAATAATCAAACACATTCCTAAAAGCAATTAACATATGAGGGCTGCTCCCATTACATCAGAGGCAGATGGTGGTGAGATAGCAGTGGAGACCGAACCTTCCCACCAGTATTCCATTAAATTTTGTTGTCATGTAATGGATGACAGCAGAGGAGCAACCTGATATTATTACGTCTAACATGGATTTGTGTATAAATCAAAGAATGTAACTGAATTTCTCCATGCAGAAAGAAATGCATCCATTGACATTCATTGATGCTTACTGAATGTTTACAGAAACTGAACAGTGGATGTTAGCACAGTGAGGTGGTGAGTGGTGCATTTCTGCAGTGGTAACAGTGGCAATTGGTCACCTCCTCTAGTCCAGATTTTTGTGAGTGCAACATGCAGGCTTTTGTTCACTGCTGATCAAAATGCATAGATAATGGTGGTAGCTATGTTGAAAAGTAGTGTTTTGTAGCTCTATTAATACTGTTATTGTACTCTTGGTTGGCATTTCCATGGAAATAAATGGTTACTGTAGTTACTGTAAAGTTATTACACAACCATGTACTTAAACTTGTCAACTTTGAAAACTGGCTAGAGCAGTAGTCTCTCTGCTAGGACTTGACTAAGTCACGAACTTCTTCATACTAGCAGATCCTTGGCAAGATTATTAGGAAGGAAGAGGATAAAATCAGCAGAGGTTTCTGCATGCGTGGTGCCCTTATAAGATCAGGATGCAAGATCAGAACCCAAAATGAAGAGGGAATACAGAGAATACAGCCCAGCTGATGACTTCTGTTTCGCATTTCTAGTAGCAAGCTGTTATTCCAGAGGGATAACTTTCCCTGGATTGCCAATATTGTCTACTGTTAGTGTTATACAATCCACATGATAATGATTTAAGTATATAGTCAACACTGTTGAAATTTATTTATTTTTTATTTTTATTTATTAAGTTACCCATTAAAAAAAAAAATTACAGCTCCACAAAATATTTTTCTTCCTAAGATGATTTTCTCAAAATACTATTCCTCATTTGATAAGCTACTTTGCTTGTTTTAGCAGTTATGCTTTATAAACATTTTGTTTCACTGGGTCAATTTAGAACACAGGCCCATAATCACAGAATGACATGATGTGCTACAGCAGATTTGAGAAACAACTGAAGAGGAAAAAATAAAAAATAAGAAAGGTAAAACAAGAAGCAAAAAATATACATGCTGTGAAGATGAAAAAGATGTCAACAAAAAGAAGATGATTAAACAATGGAAAAGAAAACTTGAATTATTTATAATGGTGAAACAACAGAAATATGTCGGAGCTGAGTCATTTGGCATTGGATTATTCAGAGGCTAGACATGTCACTAATTTCACCCACTGAAAATGTCAGTTCTGAGACACAGGTTATGCCACAGTACTAAGGAAAGATAAAAGGGAAGTGAAACAGACCCGCTGCTGTATTAAGTATCTATCAGGTGGTTTAAGGTGTTAGAAAATGAAAACTATATTTTAGTCTTCAATTATATATATATATATATGTAATTATATACATGTATATATTCAATTATATACTTTTTGTATGTGTGTGTGTTAAAAAAATTTCAAAGTTAGGTCAGATCTCTGGCAACCCAGAATCATTTGTCACAACTCATTTATTCTACTATGTTGTGAAATTCTATTGCAAAACACTCAGCTGTCTGACCAACTAATATTACGGCTAATTAGACTGTAAACCATAAAACTTCAGATTTCTGAAGGGAAAATGATTATCTTTGGTTGCCTCTTCTGTTACTTTGCCATTTTACCAGCAGTTAGGTCATCGTTCAGTGTTAAAGAATACATCCTCTCTATAGACCTTGCAGGTTGCCAAGATACAGTTGGCCCAGAAAGTATACTAGGGAACAGAGCTGATTTATTCTATGTAGCTCAGATGCCAGCTTTAATCTTGAGTTACCAAACATCACTGTGATATGCATCTCACACAGACATTCCTTGCAGGCGGTAAGTAGGTGAGTGGGATTGTTCAGTTTAGTTTCCTTTTCACTCTGCTTCTCTCCCCAGTTCCTCTTCATCCAAGAATGGTGATGGCTGCAGAGCAAAGCTGGTCTTCCTCCAATCTGCAGCAGTCCCACCAATCTCCCATCTGTACTGAAAAGATTTGGGTAAATAGGATCAGAAGAAGATCACATTCTGCCTCATTTTTCAGAAAAGGCATGAAGGCTCGGGATTGCGTAAAAACAGATGGCCAGCAGGACCATCCAGCAGGAGGGAGCTCATTCTCCCTCTCTATTCAGTTCTAAGGAATCAGAGTACTGTGTTCAGTTCTGGGCCCCCAAGAGCTTTGTAAGCACCTTTTCTAAGGTGTGCTGCAGCCCACACCTCCATTGTATGATGGACCTATCACCACACTAAGCTAGAGTTTCTCCCCCAGCGTGCTTTCTTCTGCCAAACAATGGGTGAACCTCCACTGGTACCCACAGCCTCTGCCAAATATTCTGACACTGAAAGCATGCACTACTTCTTCCAGTGTATCCCAGCATGTGGGAAAAGGCCACTATGAAAGCAGGACAGGTGATTCCGTGCCTGAGCACTGCAATGAGCTTTTGGAATGGAGGCACTCAGCTGTCAAAAACGTTCCTACAGAAAGTGTTCTGGCAGTTGCCAAAGTAGAGGGGCTTTTTAAAATACAGTTACTTTTATTTGCGTGTGCGAAAGAAACTGCCTGCTTCCCAGAAGCAGCAGCATGCCCCCAGCACACCTTAGCACCGCGGCGGCGCGCAGAAGCCTGCAACGTTCAGGCAGGGCCGCGTGCTCCCGGCCGCTGAGGGGAGGTGCGGCGGCAGCTGCCCTGTGACGTCACCGCCGGGCGCGGGGCGGGCGTTGCAGCGCAGACCGAAGGAGTCAACAGCGGGGCCTGTGCCCAGCTGCGTGGCTGTGCCATGGTTCGCTTCGGGCTGACCGTCGTCCGCCAGTGAGTACCGCCGCTGCACCGTGCTCCTTGGGTTCTCCCGCTATGGGAGCGATCGAGCGCTCTTGCCCTTCCCTTGCCCTTGCGCTGTCTACCCTCACCCATCCGCCGCTAGTGCCAGCGCGCACCGTGACGTTAACGGACTTCCGCCCTTCTCCCCACGGGCGGTCCGTTTCCTGTGGCGGGGCTACACCGTGGAGTGCCGGTTGGGGCCGTTATCTGACCACGGGGCGACGTGGCCCGGTGCCGCAGCGCCCGGCTTGGGGCCGGACGCCAGGCATCCCTTGTCTCCTTCGGCGCTGCCTCACGTAAAGAACGGTCCCACCGGGACAAAGCGCTGTGCGCGGGCGCTGGAGACCCTCTTTCAGCGCTGATCCGCCTGCTGTCAGCAGTGCCGCTCTGCTAGAACGCTGCGAAGGTGTGGAGCTGCACTAGTTTAGCAGTGTCACCAGAAAGCAGAGCCAGTGCCTGGCTCGTGAGGAAGGTGTGGTACCAGTGCTCCGAGCTCTGCCGGTGTGCCTGCTTGGCTGCGGTGTCTCAGGGAACCGCTTGACCCAGACGGGCCGTTTGCCTCTGGTGGTATTAGCATTCACTGCGTGCACGAATCTGGTCTGGTATGCTGTAGTTAACTGTTGAGTCAAGCTGGGTCAGAATAGTATTGAGAGAAGTACAGCATCACACCTAAATTTAGTCAGCACTGTTTGTGAACTCTGTGGTGATTGGTCATAAGCCCTTTCTCCTGCCAAAAGGTCTCAGATGAACTCTTCACACTCAGGGGTGAAGAGTTCATTTAGGATTGGTAGTCTAACCTTTCTTCTGTGAAATGTGAAATGGCATTGGTAACTTCTTTGGAATTGTTACTTTTAAGCTTCAACAGGATATTCCCAGAGACTGTGGTTAACTAGAATAAGCCTCTCAAATTTTCTCAAATTGATAGCAATAACAGTTTAATTTTTATTAAACATATTTTTACTCTTAATCATAATACAGGTTAATATTTGATTAGAGCAGAAAGCAATGACTTTTTTTTTTTTCCTCTAATCATCCTCCTTTTAAGAGTTACTCTTCCCTTAAAGACCTGTATCTAATGACTTGATGCTCAAGTTACAGCCTTTTACATCAGCTAGAAAGCATGAAGGCCTGACACAGTTTGTTAAACTTCAGATCTTCAGCTAGGATCTAGCAGGCACTCTGGAATTAATTAACTCATCAGAAAATGTGTTAGACTCCACTTGTGTATGCTATGCTGCTTAGGAAACAGTAAATATTGCTCTTCTCCACCCCCTAATTGATGACCAACAGGAAGGACTCTATCCAGCCTGCTGCATTTTCCTCAGCAGACCAAAAGTAGCTGTCAGAGTCTGGGGAGAGTTTGAAAGATTAAATTGGTGCCGTGTGTGCTGGAAAGAGTTTAAAACGTGTTGTAAAATGCAGTGTTCTCCCTTAGAAGTACTTGCTTTCTGTGTTTGGTTATCTATTTGAAGCTCATCTTGAGTTTTGCCCAGCAGTGCTGATAGATATTTGAAAAGCAAGCAGCATGTTTGGCACTCAGTGCTGCAAAAACTTAAGCAATTGACATTTCACTCAGGTGAGATGTCTTGACAAAGCATGCTTGACTTTAAGTTTTTCCTTCTAAATCTGTATGCAGTTTTACTTGTTCTTCTCCTGGAAAAAAAAAATCATTTAAAATGTTCAAGACGAAATATTCTGATTTCCAAAGCACTCCGATTATTATCAGATTTTATAGTTCAGGCTGTCAGCAATGAAGTTGATGGGAGAAGCCTGAGAACTATCAGAAGGAACTTCAGGGCGCTGGGGCTAATTAGTTGGAGCAGTGGGAGTCTAGGTGGTCTCCTCGGTCCTTTCAGTAGCAGTGAAAAATACTGAAAGGAACAGGAAAATCCATCCAATCAAGGTATGGCTAACAGCTGGTGCTATTGGAGGAACTTTGTTTTGTTTTTTATCATGGGGTGGTTTATTCAGCACCATGCCTGCTGGTGACATTTGGAGTTCACCTGTTTCAAGGGATACTAGCCCAGGAGTTGTTGGGAAACTGTAATGGTTCAGCCTGGTTCTGTAACAAGGGGGCAAGGGGACCCAAAGATCCACAGCCCAGGAAGGTATGGGGAAGGAAAGGGAAAAGGTATGGAGATGGGCCTGAATGAGAAAAAAGCAGCAGCAATGAGCTAAAGGGAAAAACAAACAAACAAACAAACAAAAAAACCCCTTAATTTACGAAGTGTAGTAGCAGAATGTGAGATAATATGTTATAATACAGTATGATTTAAATTGAAGCTAATAAAGTAATACGTAAAAGAGGGAGAGTTTCCAAAACCAAAGTCTTTAAAGCTGTAGGCAAAGTGGCCGGAGAGCACAGAGGAAAGTCTCATGACTTTATCTGCTGTACATTTCCCTCTGAATGGAAAATGGAAATGGAAAAATGAGCTCTTCTGGAAGTTGTAGTTCATGCTTCTCTTTTGAGACCAGGAAATTGGAAATGTAAAAAATCCTTGGAGCTGCAGCATTATTCTTTAAATCCCAGTGCACTGCATGATGTTATGATGTGGAATACCGATAGAAAACCATTACGTGAAACCACGACAGGAACACTGAGAGGGCTTTAAGTAAGATTCAAAGGAGGAAGGGGATAAAACCAGGCTCACTAGAGATGAGTCTAGGGGCAGCATGTCAGGGTTGGAGGGGTGAGACCGTTAACCCACCTGAAGTACACTTACTCTGCTGGCAATAAACTGTAAGGTGGCACATCACAATCAGAGGGGCTGCATGCTAGTGAGATCCTTCAGTCTGCTCTACTTGGTTCAATGAAGCAATCTGAAATGTTTTTCCACCAATGCACACTGCATAAAGAACAAGCTGAGGAGAACTATAAGCCTTGGGCTCAGTCGCAGAGCTACAACATCATTGGTGTAAGTGAAACTTGCTGGGAAGAGTCCTCTGACTGTTGTGCTGTAGTGGATGACTACAGACTTTCTAGAAGAGACAGGCAGAGCAGGAGAGGAAGGGAAGTGACACTGTATTTAACTGAGGGGCCAAACTGTATGGAGCTGTCAGTTGGTGGTGAAACAGTTGAGAGCCTCAGCCAGGATGACAACACTGATTGATTATTCTTTGAGGAACTAAGAGAGACATCTATATCAACCCCTCTTGTCATTAGGGGAGGCTTCAACTTACCAGATGTTAACTGGGAGCACTGCACAGCTGATACAAGCAGGTCCAGTAGATTCCTAAAACACCTCAATGACAACTTCATGCTACAGGTACTAAGGGATCCAACGAGGAAGGTTGCCCTCCTAGGTCTGTTGCTTCTGAACAGAGAAGGTCTCATGATTGAAATGGCAATTGGTGACTGTGTTGGCCATAATGACCATAATCAAATTCAAAATCCTTGGTGGTAATAGGAGAACTGCCACCAAAACCTCAACCCTTGATACGAGGAGAGCAGATTTCAGGCTGCTCAGGGAACTAGTTAGTAAGGTCTCCTGGGAAACATCTTTTGAAAGGGTATTTGTTAAGTACCACCTCAGAGTTGAAGTTGGCCAAAAGTGTGAGGGAAAATAAAAAGATTTTTTTTTAAATATGCTAGCAACAAAAGGAGGGCCAGGAAGAATATTGGTGAGAACGGTCACATTACAAACAGGAACACAGACTAAGAAAACACTTCCAAGACGTTCTTTGCCTCTGTCTTCAATACTGATGATAGGTTCTAGTTCCCCAAGTGCCCCAAGTCAAAAGACTATGACTGCAATAACAGCCAACTCCCAGAAGGCCCTGAGCTTATACAGGATTTGCTGCTACACCTGAATGAATGTAAGTCCACAGGACCCAATGGGATTCATTCCTGGGTACTCCCTTAATTATTTTTCAATAGTCTTGGGAATGTGGAGAGGTACCAGTTGACTGGAAGCTGCAAACATTCCAATTTTCAGGAAGGGCAAGAAAGACCTTGATGATTATAGGCCTGTCAGTCTCACTTCAGTGGCTGGTAAAATTATGGAGAAAAATGTTCTAGAGCTATTGAAGAACGCCTGAAGGACAGTGAAGTCATTGATTGCAGCTGACACAGGTTCATGAGGGGAACATCCTGTTTAACTAAGTTTCCTTTTATGACAGAATCATCCATGTTTTTGATCGTGGGAAGCCAGCTGACATTGGGAAGTTGTTGATGGCATTTGATGATGGAAAGCCATCTTTTTGGCTTTCACTAAAGCTTCCAGTACTGTTTCTCTCAGTATCCTTCTGGACAAGATGTTCAGCATGCAGCTAAACAAAAACATAATGAAAAATTGGCTGATGATTTGGGTCCAAAGGGTTAGAGTAAACAGTTGACTCGCAGCCAGTCACTAGTGGGGATCCCCATTTCAGAGCAAGTTCTCTTCAGGAGGCTTTCATAAACAACTCAGATGTAGGACCAAAAGGTGTTTTGAGCAAGCGTGCTGACGATATTGAATTGGTAGGAGCTGTTGGCTCCATTGAGGATGGAGAAGCAGAGAGGTTTAGTCAAATTAGAGAACTGGGCGGGCAATCACCAACTATACGAAGTTTAACAAGAGCAAGTGCTGGATTCTGTGCCTGGGAAGGGGCAACCTTGGGCTAGGCATACAGATTAGGGGATGAGATGCTGGGGATCTTGATCAACAAGTTGAATATGAGTCAACAGTATGCGCAGGCAGCCAGGAAAGCTAAGTATATGCTGGGATGCATCAGCACTGCTAGTTGGTTGAGGGAAGTGATTGTCCTGCTTTATGCTTTACTGGTGTGGCCTCACCTGTGTGCAGTTTGGGAATCAGAACAAAACAGAACAGAACAAAAAGTACATAAAACTATTGGAGAGCATCCAAAGGAGGGCTACAAAGATGGTGATGGGTGTGGTGGAGAAGCTCTGCCGTATGCTGTGCTTCTTCAAGGTGTGTTGCCTGCTCTGATACTATCTTTGCTAATCTCTTGAGTTGACTTCCCTCTAATGCACAGAAGTCCCACTGACTAGTCCAGTCAGAGTTTTCCTACTTCTTCCCTCTCTCCAATGAGGAGATGTCACTTTAGTAGATAAATTATGCTGCATTTATGATAAATTTAAGATATTACTTTCCTTTTTGTCCCATATCTTAGTAAATACTGATGGCGTGTTTGGAATTGACTACTTGAAATGATTTTATTTTAAACTCTTCAAATACATCCTTTTAAAAGGAGGCTGTGCTATAATGTACATCATTATTTATGTTTAAACTTTTTCCATTTGGCGTGTATTACAGTGTTTGTGAACCGTGATTGAAAATGAAGTCACAATTTTTTTTGTATATAATCTTTTTCAGTGGAGAAACAAGATACAACAAAGACAAGATACTGCAAGGTTAGTATCAGCTGTTCTATTAGTTTCTGTGAGATTGAAAATTATTCTTCCCTGCAAAATGAGAAATCCCATGATCAACAACTGAACTGATAAATAAGAGGGCTGCTTCACAAGTAATGCCTCATATTTTGTTAAGTTGGCCCACAACATCAGAAGCAGATGTCACCGGTATGGCAGTAGAGGTTGAACCTTCCCAACAATATTCTGTTACACTTTGTTGCCTTGCAACAGACAGCAGCAGAGAGGAGCAGCGTGTGATGTGGAAGCGTGTATAAAGAAAAGGCATGTAACTGAATTCTACTGTGTGGAAAAATGGTACCCACTGAGATTCATCAGTGCTTGCTGAATGTTTATGGAAACCAGAAAGAGGACGTTAACACACTGAGGTGGTGGATGGTGTGTTTCAGCAGTGGCAACAGCAGTAGTGGGTCAGTCCACCTGCAGATTTTTCTGGGCACGGCATGCAGATTCTTGTTCATCGCTGGCAAAAATGCACAGTACACGGTGGTGACTGTTTCAAAAAATGGAGTTTTGTCATTGAGAACTTGATCTATCAAATAGTGTTATTGTGCTCTTAATATCTGTTGTCATTTCCATGGAAATAAATAGGTATTACTTTCAGACAAACCTACATATTGTTACAGAGTAATATTGTGTACTTTAGGCTAGAAAAATACCTTTATTAATGGATCCAAATGTTAGCTTGATAGTTGTGGAAAATGATAAGTTTCTAATTCAGTCTCTGCAGAATGTCAGTGTAGAGTGGTGCATTTCTGGTTTTAACAGGGGTGTCACAGTTCTTTTGCTAAAATGCAGAAATAACTTACCTGGAATCAGATAACAAAAATCTGTAGGTAAGAATGGCATGATATCCCAGACCACTGTTGTGAAGATTGTTTAAATGTACTTGAATTGTTCAGTTCTAGCTAGAACGCAGTTTTTATTCAAAAAAGTTATCTACCTGGACTTTAGCAAAGCTTTTGATGTGGTTCTGCAGCACATCTTTATCTATAATTTGGGGAGATGGATGTTTGAAGGGTGGACTGTTCGGTGGGTGAGGAGTAGGTTGAATGGTCACAGACAGAACTTTGTGATCAACAGCTCTATGTCCAGGTGGAGGCCAGTCATGAACCTCTGGGTTCAATCTTGGGACCTCTCTCTAACATTCTTATCAGTTATGTAGATGGTGAGTTCGAGTGTACCCTCAGCAAAGCTGCAGACAGCACCAAGCTTAGTGGGCAGTCAGTATGACAGAAGGAAGGGATACCATCCAATGGGACCTAGACAAACTCATTAGGTGGGCCCATGTAGTTATGATGAAGTTCAACAAAGCCAAGTGTGAGACGTTATGCTTCATCCAATCCCAGATTTGTGTATGGGCTAGGAGAAGAACTCTTTCAGAGCAGCCTGCTGAGTGGAAGACTTAGGGATCCTGATAGATGAAAAACTGAATGTGAATTGGCAGTGTGTACTTGCAGCCTGGGAGGCTAACAGTACCCTGGGATGCATTAAAAGACAGGTGACCAGCAGGGCAAAGGAAGTGATTGTTGCTCTGTACTTTGACCTTGTAAGTGGATGCATGAGTACTGCGTTGTCACGGTTTGGACAAGGGCTTCCTGGCCTCTTTTATGCTTCCCCGTCCTTTTCAGGGAGACAAAAAAAAGGAACAACCCAGTTAAGATGAGGAGAGCTAACTAATTTACTACAAATGGCAAAATAACGTAATGATATAAAAAGGGAATTATGGTAACATACAAATAGGAAAGGATTTCAGACAGTGCTGCTGTCTGCTCTGTCCAGAAAGAAAAAAGTTCTATCTTATCACTTGGAATGGAGAGTACTGGAGATTTTGGAGAACTGTAGTTTGTCTCTTCTCATACTCAGTATATTGTATCTTCTCAGTATATTGTTTGTTTGTGGATGCCCCATCTCTGAAAATGTTTGAGGGCAGGCTGGAGGGATCCTTGAGCAATGTTATCTAGTGTCTAATCTAACCATTGGCAAGCTGTGCCTGTGGCCAGAGGTGTTGCAACTAGATGATCTTTGAGGTTGCTTCCATCCCAAGCCATTCTGTCATTCTATGAAATGTTGGCTTACCAAAGTTCTGATTCTCTCAGCACTGTCTTAGAGCATTTGGGACAGTTCATTTCATAAACTATGCTAGCTAAAAACCGTATCTGCAAGGGTTACTTTTCAGCTAGATCAGTTATGTCAACATACTTTCTGAGCAACTGCATGAGCATTAGCATCAACACACAAGGTGGAATAGAGCAGACAACAATTTGTATTTACATCAACACTAAAATTCTTGTGAAACTGTCTTTGGCAGAGAGAGGGTATGCTGCTTTCCACATTACACAAAATCCCTTCTTGTTTCCTCATCTTCAGGGCATTATCATAGTTAGGGAATGCAGGGAAAATAGCCTATCATGTTTGTTAGGACTTCCCTCTCCTGGTATGCATGTTTTTCAGTGTGTGTATTTTAGTATCAACAGCAGTATCACATTTGTATTGTCTTATTTGCAGTAACAACCATTTTCAGACTTTCAGTTCTGGGACTCCTCTAGTAGGGAGCCTAGCAGAGGCTAGAAAGGACAAGTGATCTGAAATGACTACCCGTGTTTAGAAAATGTAGATCTGATTCATGTTTAAGTTTTCATGTTTCTATTTCTCTTATATATATACATTAATAATATCAGTAAATGGTCCTTCTATCTTTCTAGCCTGTACTCCCTTTCTTTATACTACGAGACCAGAGGAATAGTCACTGCACTCCACTTGCAGAATGAGAGGTGTTTTACGTAGGTTTGTCTGAAAGTAATGACTCCGTTTTCATGGAAACAATAACAGATACTAAGAACACAATAACACTATTTGATAGATCAAGTTCTCAATGACAAAACTCCATTTTTTGAAACAGTCACCACCGTGTACTGTGCATTTTTGCCAGCGATGAACAAGAATCTGCATGCCGTGCCCAGAAAAATCTGCAGGTGGACTGACCCACTACTGCTGTTGCCACTGCTGAAACACACCATCCACCACCTCAGTGTGTTAACGTCCTCTTTCTGGTTTCCATAAACATTCAGCAAGCACTGATGAATCTCAGTGGGTACCATTTTTCCACACAGTAGAATTCAGTTACATGCCTTTTCTTTATACACGCTTCCACATCACACGCTGCTCCTCTCTGCTGCTGTCTGTTGCAAGGCAACAAAGTGTAACAGAATATTGTTGGGAAGGTTCAACCTCTACTGCCATACCGGTGACATCTGCTTCTGATGTTGTGGGCCAACTTAACAAAATATGAGGCATTACTTGTGAAGCAGCCCTCTTATTATGCCTGAGTAGATTCTCTCAACTTTGCTTGCTAAACTGATAAATTGTTTGAGATTTGTGTGTTTTAATGTTGATTTTTTTGTTTGTTTTTTGTTTTATAGGTCAAGGAATAGATGAGCCACTCTCTCCAACTGGTTTCAGACAAGCCGATGCTGCTGGTTTATTTCTCAGTAATGTAAAGTTTACTCATGTCTTCTCAAGTGACCTCCTTCGAGCAAAGCAGGCAAGTGCTTTTACTGGAAACTGAATGTAATTATAAGCTTCACATTTTGCTGCTTATTTGCTATTGCTGATACAGAAATAATAGCATGAAGGAAAGCACAGTTTTTTTTTTAATGGATTTAGAACTGAAGGTTGAGTTGTATAGAATTTCATAAGGCCTCTGTGTATATGGAAACTTCAGTCATACAGCACATTTAAGAGCTGATGAAGGCCAATTCACAGGATGTTGTGTTTTTCTTATAGATTTGCCATTATTTTGTATGTGCATATCCCTTCTTGGTAAAGGAGTAATTGTGATTTAAAGGTAACAGACCAAATTCAGTTTGTTTGTTTTAATGGAATAAAGCAAATTGGCATGGATATAGTTTGTACTGTTTTATGTACTGCAGCTGTTGTGTTTTTCAGAAGAATGCATACAAATTAAGCAAAAATCAAGTCTTGCGGTAAAGTCTGCACAAGTACCATTAAGTGTGCAGAGACATTAGATTTTGGAAAGAACATAGTATTGTATCTCTCACTTTGATATGCTATTTTAATAAATTACAGAAGAAACACTTCCAGTTACTGGGTGGAATTTTGTGTGCAAGGTTATAAAATATGCAAAAAAAAAAAAAAAAAAAAAAGGAAGAGAACAGAAGTTTTGTTTGTAGTTGCATTGATCAACCAGCTGTTCTTTGAAGACTATATTTGCAATGCAAGCCCTATGATTCTTTCTGTCTCCTGTTACTGATTTTCTAATTTCAGGATATGTGAAAGGCTTCATGTGTTTGAAACTAAGAAATTCTTGAATGTGTTGGTTCCTTGCTTTTTTTTTTTGTTTTGTTTTTCTTCAGTTGTGATGCTTCAAGAGACTGTAAAGCCATGTTGTAAACGAGAGCAACAAAATTTAGGTTAAGATCTCTTTTATTTTTAACTTAGATTATCTTGTTCATCTGTTTTGTACCTCAGTCCTACTTGTAGCAACATAATATAAGCAGAAAACAAGCTAGAAATGGTGGAGAGAAGTGAAATAATTAGATATTTTTAAATTGCATAATAATGATTACTTGACAGGTAACTTCCTTTAAATATGTGAATAGTGTTAATTACTTTTTAAAATATGATAGTGGTTTTTAATATTTGTAAGACATTGTGTGCTATGTGCCCACCTTAGGGAAGTTCTTTTTGAAATACTCAGCTTTTTGAGAGTTAGTTTTGTAATTTTTTTTTCTCTTAAGTTAGAGAAAAGCTTTTCCTTGAAAAGGATTTGCACTCTTTTAATATAGAAAATGTCCTTTGCATAAAGGGAACATGTTTTACCATTCTTTAGAACATCTGTTCAGACTTTGTAGAAGCTTTTTCAATGATGCGTAGAGCTGTAGCTCGCATTTGTTTGGAACTTCATTCTTTGGCAGCTGCAGATCTCTGAAGAGTGTGCTTTACTACACTGTCACTTCACGGCTTAAATATGAGAGGAGTTTGTAGTTTGCCTTGAAAAAGGGGGGGAGGAGTTTGCAGTTTGCCTTAAAAAAGGGGGAGAGTTCATCACTGTTAGTGATGAAGTTTAGTTTGTCTTGCAATGTCTCCTTTATCATTTGTGGGTCAGGATATGCAGTGGAACTAGGAGTTGCATGCTGTCCTCTGGATACTGCTTCTGCCTGCAACTGAACTCTGAAGCTTGAGCAGGACAGGAGAAAAGCAAGTAGGAAATTTAAAGAGAAGCATAGTAGCTGGACAGAAATTTTAGAAACTAATAGAGATGTGCAAGTGAGCATGTACAGGACATGGAGAGAGTGGCTTTGCAGAGAGGTCTGTTTGAGAGAGCAAGAGTGAGGAGTCAAAGACTTAGCTCCAGAAATTAGCAGTGTAGATGAGAGCTGACAGACCTGGAATGTGAAAATAAGAACTGATCAGAAAGACTGGAATTTGGTATGAACATATCTCCAGAAGAGCTATAAGATTAGCAGAATGCAATGCAGAAGTCTGCAGGAGAGTATTGAGCTCACGGTTATGATCCTGCCACTGGGACAAAAACTCAGCAATAGTGAAAGTAGATTCAGGAGTGGAACAAGCTGGGTCTTGAAAAGGACAGTAGAACAATTTTGAGTCCTTTTCATGTGTAATAAAATGGGGCTATTATCCCTGCTATTGCTGTGATGCTGTGAAAATTCAGAAATGTTTCTGAAATAGACTAGTGCTTAGAAATGGATGATGTAAGAAAGGTAAAAGAAAGTTAGTATTCAGAACAGATTTTCATTAAAGTAGATGGATCATGAGGCTTCATGTTTAATATTTACAGTTCAGAATGAATTTGCGCACAGTAGATGAATGTAGTCTATTCTAGGTATTGAACAAATCTCCATTCTGGAGAAATTTCTGGATATAATCATAAATTAACTATACTATTCATACATACAAGGAAATTGATTCAAGCATGTCTGTTATGATAGTGTTGTATGACAGAAATTTAAAGTTGAAGCATAAAGCCTTTCATAAGCGGTATGTGGAATAGTACATATAATCTTAGTAGTACAACAAAGCTGATTATTATTTGATAGAATCCAGGGAGTCTTTTCAAAATAAGTTCGTTAGATGTCTGAGTAAATGTGGACATTTGCTAAAGACTTCTGGCTGTTATTACTACTAAGTACCTGTGTGAATCCATACTGCCTTCGTATTTTGTGGTACATATAAGAACAGTAGCATGTTAGTCATCCTTTAGTTCTCATTACTGCCTGTGCAGCCAGAAGCATCCAGCATACTAGAGCCCATGTTAAGCAATGCTTTTTACAAAATGGTATCAGAATTTCCTCTTGATCAGGTTTCTTTATTAGCCATATTAGCCCTCCTTGCATCCTCAAAATCACATGCTTCTTTGGAAAAGAAATGTACAGCATAGAACTCAGGACATCCAGTCTGTTATTAAAAGTAAAGAAAACCCTTTTGGGCTTTTTCTGTCTCTTTTTGGCAATGTTATCAAATGATAAGTGAATACAATAACCTGTTTTTTGTGGTGGTTTTTTTTTTTTCCTTTTCCCCAAGTTTATCAGCCAGTGTGTGTCTCCTCTCTAGGATCAAGGCTGCCACATCTGTATATTGTCAGCAGATACTCTTTTTCCTCTTTAAATGCTTCAGTAGTATACAGGAAATTCAGATAGGATGTTAGGAAATATTTCTCCAAGAGAGTGGTCAGGTGCTAGAACAGGCTGCCCAGGGAGATGGTGGAGTCACCATCCCTGGAAGTATTCAGAAAACATTTAGATGTTGTACTGAGGGACATGATTCAGTGGGAAATACTATTGATGGTTGGACAGGATTATCTTAGAGGTCTTTTCCAACCTTGGTGATTCTATGATGCTATGATTTTTTTATTTATTTATTTTTTTTTTTTAGGTGTATTAAAAAGCTACTTGCCAGAAACTGATTTAATATGTTAGATGCTGTATTTTTGTCAGTTGTAGTAACTGATCTGTTTTTAGAAATGCACTGATTGCAAGCACAACCCACATACAACATAGATCTTTCTGAAAGTAATGCCTTCTATTTATTTCCATGAAATAAAATATAAATATAAAATATATATAAATAAAAAATAAAAGATATATAATATAAATAATAATATATAATATAATATATACATAATATAAAAAAATAAATTACAACAGATACAAAGAGCACAATAACAGAGCTATGAAACACTGTTTTTCAGCATAGTCACCCCTGTTAGCTATGTATTTTCTCCAGTGATGAACAAGAGCCTGCATGCCATTCTCATCAAAATCTGCATGGCTAACTTGTCTTTCACATCGCTGTTGCTAATGCATGAAACACACTGGCTACTGCCTACCTGTGCTAACATCCACTGCTTAGCTCTGTAAACACTCAGCAAGCATTGATAAATCGTACTGCTGTTGTGGGTACTGAGTGTCTCCAATTGTTCTGGACATTGAAGTGAGAAAGATCTTTCAGAAAATTGCATCTTTTCTCTTTTTATGACAGGTGATATATACAATTTTGACACTACTAGCTGGAAATTTTTAATCTTGTGTACTTGGGATCTTGGGTACTACTAGTGTAAATCACACTGGATATGGTGTTGTAATATAGTTCAGGCATTCCATGGTAAAATAGAACAGTTCATTGATGTAACTGTATATTCACTTTTTAGACTGCTGCCACAATTATAGGAAAAAATAAGTTCTGCAAAGGTTTGGAAATCAAGTGTGATACAAGACTTCGAGAGAGAGTAAGTGCCGTAAGAGTTTGCTTAAATATTGAATATTGAAAATGCAATTTGTTGCTGATCTTGATTTAGTAAGTGGTAGATTTAGCAGTGGAGAGTGCTATATGATGTGTTTTTAGTCACTGAGAATTTATTTTTTACATTTGGTACTCAAAATTGTCTGATTTCAAAGGAGAGCCAAAAGTTTAGTGATAGTGGTTTAGTGATACAGTACTGAATTAAGTACTGTATGGCTTGCATGTGGAGAGAATTATTTTTGTTTCCTAGCCCTGTGTATGAAGTTGAAGATGTTCCCTCTGCCTCTCTTCTCTAGCCTGATAATACAACCTGATGTTAACTTTTTGTTTGTTTTTACCTTTTAATTAATTAAATTAAATTAATGAATTTATATTAATAGATTAATTAATTCAATTTAAATGAAGACTAATGGAAAACTTTCTGCTCAAAATGGAACAGTCTTCTTTCCTGATTAGCCCCTTTGCTTCATTACAGGCATAATAGTAACGCCTGTCTGTTTTTAACTGTTTTAATCCGGATAAATTGAGATGTTGGATGTTTCTGCTAGTATTAATCACCCTTCCTATACTGCATTGACAGTACCAGCTGAATTTTATATAAGGAAGTGCTACAAAACCAGAAGTGGATGTCATATTAGCAGCAAGAACTAAGTGTTTAAAGAGCAGAATGTGATCACAGCATTTCCCATTGTGATCCCTTTGTCACAAATTCTGGTTCACCCCCTTAAATCAGCAAGTTACATCCCTTCCAATCTTCTTTAATGGCTTAATCACCTGGTATTTTCAAAAATATTTTGGGATGTGGTACGGAGTTTTACAAGGTATAATCTTAACTTGTTTCTTTTTTTTTCCTTACCAGGTGTTGATACTGTAATAGAAATTCCACTAAATAGAAATTCCACTAAAGTTTCTGCAGGCCACAAGTTTTAAGGCAGTGTTGTAGATAACTGAAATTAAGTTTGAATAGCATGAAAAGAAGCTACGTTCTTTGAAAGAAATATGTCGTTGATTCTATTGAAAAAGCTTTATTTTCTTATGGCTTGCATTCATGCGAGAAATCCAGAAAAATCTTCAAGATTAAAATCTTCAGTAGTTTCTGAGAATTTATTTCTTTACATCTTTCTTAATTCTTAAACAGTGAATTTTACTTTAGGAAAAGGAACTGAGAACGTGAAGTAAATGTGCTTCAGTACAATTCAGAAGACTATAGTAATTTATTATGGCAGCAAACTGCGCGTACATAGCATAGAAATCAGAAAAGTCTCAGCAATAAGTATGTGTCTGTTTCGCAGTCATCAACATCTCAGTCTGTGAAATGTGCATAGCTGAGGGTTTTGACAGTAGAGCGATAAAATGGAATATTGATGGGGAGGTTCGACCTCTACTGCCATACCTTTGTGAATGGCAGCATGCATAATAAGAAATGTGGCATTTGTCATACTAAATTATACTGCTGTTGTGGGTACTAAGTGTCTCCAATGGTTCTGGACATTGAATTGAGAAAGATCTTTCAGAAAATTGCATATTTTCTCTTTTTATGACCTCACACAGGTATATACAATTTTGACACTACTAGCTGGAAATTTTTAATCTTGGGATTAAACTTGGGATCTTGGGTACTACTAATGTAAATCACACTGGATGTGGTGTTGTAATATAGTTTAGGCATCCCATGGCAAAAGTCCTTGTTTTTGTCAAAGTCTTCATAACTATAGTTTTTTCAGTGGCTTCAGACCTTCCAAGAAAGGACCAAAGCTGTCTACTTGAATACATTTTTTTCATCTGTTAATGATAGTGAAGTATTAATCTTCAGTGGTAGAAATGTTAATCTGTATTGCTGTTTTTAAGAGATGTGCCTTGGAGATATGCTCGAGATAAAAAATGGTAATACGCATCCAACTAAATCTCTTCTAAACTACATTAGAGATTATAAATCTTAATTTATAATGTGACTACTGTTGATCCATAATGACTAGTTAATATATATGTGTTGTTTGTGGTGTTTCTCATATAAACATTTCATTTGGAGGAATTATGAAAGAATGTGCCATTGAAAATCATTAATTCCATTAGTTCATTTGTGTATTGTTTTTAAGATCACTTTTGTCTTCTTTGTTTTCTGATAACTTTGTTCATAGAAGTAATGTACATCCTGAAAAAAGGGGGAATAGAATTCCTGCTCTCCTGTAGAAGTTACAGAGGTCTCTAGAGAAAATATTTGTTTCTTTTGAGAAAGAATTTATTGTAATATTTCTGCAGATGAAGAGTAAATGGAGTTTATCCGCTCGTGAGGTGCTTGTAATGCAACCTCAGTTGAATTTTGTATACTAAGAATTTTGTGTTGTCAAAATGAGTGTCAAGAGTATATGAGTCCGAAGTGTATTTAAAGGCACCTCCTCTCCCAACACTATGATGAAATGTGAAGAGTAGTTAAGCTTGCACGTTATATTTGAGAATCTAGAAAACAAGTCTGTTTGAGAGTTGTTTGCATTGGAAGTGCTGTATCTTGCTAAATTCTTTGTAATTTGCCTCTTACAGAAATATGGTGTTGCAGAAGGAAGGCCTTTGACAGAACTCAAGGCTATGGCAAAGGCTGCTGGACAGCAATGCCCTACATTCACACCTTCTGGAGGAGAAACACTGGATGAAGTATGTCATTTATGTATTTAGGCCCCAGTTTCTAGGCCATTTCATTAGGGCAGATATAGCTATTGCTTATTTAGGATCATCTTACTGAAAGTTTAGCCCAGTAAAAAATATTTATTTTTCCCAGTTAAAAACACCATTTGACCCAATGGCTACTCATTAGAGAATTTCTTTAGAAGTAAAATATTGATTCTGAGATTGATTCTTCATCAAGCTGTTGTATGCAGGAGGCTGATGGCAATTGCTTTCAACCTTGTCTTTGAAGTGCAGAGCAGTTCTTAACAGCATTCAGTAACTTAAGCACTGATTTCTGAGTCTTGTCTGTGATAAACCTTTTGACTGAAGTAGTAATATCTCAGGCTTTTGAAACCTGGAGTCTCTTACATTCTTCACAACATATTATTCTGACTTCTCTCTGTAGGTAAGAGAACGTGCAAAGGATTTTTTTGAATTTCTGTGTCAGCTAGCTGCTGAAGTGGGACAGATCAGAGAGAAGAAAGATCAAGAGATGCATGGGGCAGCAAACAGAAGCTCAGGAACATATGAAGAAGAGTCAGTTTTTCCTTGGACAGACCACTGTGGTGTACATGAATTTAGCTCTGATAACGATGGAACTTCTAAATTGTTATTAGATGCCAATATCTTAGTGGTGAGTCATGGAGCCTACATGAGGAACTGGGTCGGTTATTTTGTTTCAGATCTCAAGTGTACTTTGCCAGCAGATTTAACAAAGACTCAACTGTCTTCTGTCAGTCCCAATACAGGAGTTAGTCACTTTATAATAAAACTTGAAAACAGATCGGTGTTAAAACCTGAAATCATATGTGTTTGTCTTAATCAGGATTCTCACTTGGTGGATGTTGGTGCTGAATGTGTAGCTTCAAAAATATTTTAAGAGTTTTTACAGAGGGAAGTAGTTCTCAATTACAATACACACTTGGAAAAATATATCTATAGCAATTAATGAGATTGACGAGTTATTGACACTGAACTGCATAATGGAAGACATGCCTACCATGCATATCTTTATGAAGAGAAACATTCTTCCAGTCATCTGCATGTCTTCCACACACTTGCTATTACAGTGCATACTTTCAAAAGCTGCTTATTATTTGCCCATAATTATTTTGGTTATCTCCATCAGAAAGAATTAGTGGTGGAGGAGAGGAATGGTACCCAAAAAAATGAGCTATACTGTATTCTTGTTTTATTACAAAATGCTATATTGTAATGTTAATATATATGTTGTTTTAAAGTAACTTTTTTGACTGCAGTAATGTAACTTAAAAAGGGGGATTGCCTAGTGGAACAAGTTTGGTGCAGAGCCAGGTGACGTGTTCTTGACTCTGATACTAAGTAGCTGTGAAACTTCGGGCAAATCTTTTCCGTTTGTAAAGTGGGGATGATTTTATACCTACCTCGCAGGAGTTTTGGTAAGAAATGTTAGGCTTGTTGAGACCTCTATTGAAGAGCGCTGTACACAACATATTTATTTTTAATTGTAAGCAGAATGAGCACATAATTGAAACACCAATCTGTATTTTAAAAAGTAACTTTATCAATACTGTAAACTGGACCTGACTGGAATCCCGTTGTCAATCGCAGTCATATACTTAATGGATGAGTATTTTGGCCTAGAATTAAGCAAGCTTGATTGCTTGATGATTGATTGTTTGTAGCTGCTGTTAGTGCTGCATTACTTCCCCACTGAATTGTCTGTAGTGTTATTATGTAAGCTTATCCAACCTTTTTATCATCTCCGCGTACCTTTTCATCGTTTGCATATTTTAAGCTTTAAAAATAAAGCCTCCTGAATATAACTCCATTCCTTTGAGATCATAATTCTTGTTAATAATGCTCCATGAAGCCTTGCCCAGATAACACAGCTTCTGTTTTTTGTTGTTGCTTTTCCTGGGAAACTCCAGGCTATTCTTCAGTAACTAAATGTTACACTTTTTTTATTCGTGAAGATCAGTGCTATTCTAATTCTCATACAAACAATAAAACAACACACTAATGTTAAAATATCAAGGATGAACTGCTAGCAATTGTATGAAAATAGCTATTCAAATGAAGATTTTTTTGTCTTAATGTGCACTTTACCCTATTTGGCTTCTTTGCCTTGAAGCAGACACTTGAATTTTGAGAAGGAAAAAGAGATTGCTGTTGTTTTGTTGAATAGATAAGTACATATGCTTAAATGCTGCTCAACTAAATGACAGCAGAATTGTTCAGTCTGACTATACTGACTGTACTTGGCTTCTTCCAGTCCTGTGGCAGTGATTCAATAGGTAAGTCCTCTTGATTCTTAAGTGAACATTGAATGGGGGTCTGCTTCTGTTCTTTGTGTTGTTTGTCTGTTGCTAATACTAAAATGTAGAGGGTAATTGTGAAGTGTTCAGCCTTGTAGTAATCAGAGGTAATATTATAAGGCAGAATTCTCCAGAATGTGGAAGTCAGCCTATTGCTTTTACTTGCAATGGGGCTTGTTTGCATAATAAATTATGGGGAAGCCATCTGCTTCTGTGTCTGAAAACTTGTCTGTGGAAAGGAAAGTAGTTTGTCTGATGTGTAAATATGGATACTAGTAACATGTCAGCAAGGATTTATCTTTCAATTTGCAGGGCATTAAGTAACATGAAGGACTGGACTCTCTTAAAATTGTATCAGCAAGTTAAAATTGGAGGATTTCTGCATTGGTAGATCTTATTATTGATCAGTCAACTACTTTGTTTTTATTTATTTACAGATACAGACAAAAGCCTTCCTTATAGCTCCTCTTTTCCAATATGAGATAGTTCATGAATGTACAAGGATATCTAGGGAGGTTATATCTGTAAAGGTAAACAGGAAAACTGTTGTGTTGCGCGGGTATAAAAGGTGGTAAGCACCTGCAATAAATGGCTTTTGTTCTGCACTAGCGAAGGAGTCTGCATCTCATTTGCCTCTCCAGCAAGAGAGCCCGGGGCAGCCCTGCGAGATAGGCGCCGGACCAGAACAGGGGGGCACCAGAACGAACAGAGACTAGAGAGGAAGACCGGACAGAAGCGGGCAGAGAAAAGCGCCGGGCTAAGAGGCCCTAAAAAGAGGTGAACTGAAAGAAGCTCTAAAACCGGCTGCAAGAAGCCCCGGCCGAAGAGGGCTGCCAGAAGTCCCGGCCGAAGAGGGGGCTGAAAGAAGCCGTGGCCAAAGAGAAGAGCTGAAAGAAACTTTAAAATGAGCTGCAATAAGCGTGGACTGAAGAGAAGGGCTGAAAGAAGCCAGAGGGCCATAGGACAGGTTGGAAGAAGCCCAAGCAAGAAACGAACTGAAGGAGACGCAATCCTGGTGAAAGTGCAAGACTGAGAGAAGTCTTATCGTCCCTGGCTACTTTGATTGTCTCTTGCTGGACGAAGGTAGGCGATTGTGTATTATGGGGAACAAAATTACTTTTGCTTCTATTGCTCAAATTCATATTTTTGTTTTGCTTGCTATTATTGATTCAGACTATACTGGTGAAATTAAGATAATGCTGTGAACAGCAACCCTCCCTTGTACTATCCCTAAGTCGCATAGCACAATTGATTTATTTTCAGCCTAAGCCACCTCTGAGAACCAGCGTCTCATGAGGCAGGAGTGGGACCATGATAGGGGAGCAGAGAGGGATCGTTTGATTACATATAGGGAATGGGTTGTGAAAGGGATGGAAAGGGCAATCCCCAAAACAGTTAACTGGTCAGTGTTGTATGCTATTAGGCAGGGACAAAAGGAAGCTCCCTCAGAATTCCTGGACAAATTAAGAGACGAAATGAGAAAGCATACTTCATTAGATCTGGGGTTGTAATTAGGTGTTCAACAGCTCATATCATTATTTATTGGGCAGTCAGCTGGGGACATAAGAAGGAAGCTGCAAAAAATGAAGGATCTTGATGCATGAAATTTGGAAAGCTTGCTGGAAGAAGCATGAGTGCGTTTAGCAACTGAGAGGAGGGGAAAAAGAAGAGGAGAGAAGGGTGTTGGTAGCAGCTATACAGGGGATGGGGCTAAGAACATTAAGGAAGCCTCTTGAGAGAGACCAATGCATGATTTGTAGGAAGAGGGGACACTGGAAGAGTGAGTGCCCACAGAGAAATCAACAAGGAAGAAGAGACACTTGGGTTAGGATGCAAGCAACTGTGGAGAGTGAATGATGGAGACCTGGGGAATCTACCCTAGCGGACCCCTTTGTTAGAGTTAAGCTAGGGGACAATCAATGAAGTATAGAGTTTCTAGTAGATATGAAGGGTACTTATTTGATTTTAAATGAATTTCTGATACCACTAAGTGAAAATTTAACGGTAAGGGGAGCTACAGGTCAACCAGAACAGGCATATTTTTCTAAACCACTGAAGTTCAAATTGAGAAAACAGGTGGGAATACATAGATTCTTGTACATGCCAAATTCACTGAAATCTCTCTTAGGAAGGGACTTATTGGAGCAGTTGGAAGCAGAAATAAGTTTGAAGAAGCAGAAAAAAGTTTGAAGAAGGGAATATAAAGCTTAAAGGAAGAACCAAGGATAGAGCTGCTTAGCCTGGCCTTAATAACCACATCGGTACTTATAGGCATTCCAGAGGAAGTAAGGAATTAGGTTTATCTGGGAGTGTGGGAAGCTGAAACTCCAGGCTGAGCAAAGAATGCATCTCCTGTGATAATAAAAATCAGACAAGGGAGTCAGTCCCTGAGAATTAGGCAATATCCCTTAAGGGCAGAAGATAGGGAGGGGATACAACCAATAATTGACTGATTCATGAAACATGGTCTATTGAGGGAATGTGAGTTTAACAGAGTTTAACAACCCAATATTAACGGTGAAGAAACCAGACGGGAGCTATCGGGTGGTACAGGATTTGAGGGCAATAAAAAAAAGGTAGTAGATAATTTGTGTCCTTTAGTAGCCAATCTGTATACCTTACTCACCAAGCTGTCCACTGAGTTAATATGGTTTACCATGTTGGATTTAAGGATGCCTTCTTTTGCCTGCCTCTGGCCGCAGAAAATCATCAATTATTTGCTTTTGAATGGGAAAACCCCAGCACGGGATGAAAGTCGCAGCTTATTTGGACTGTACTCCCACAAGGATTTAAGAATAGCCCTACGATATTTGGGAATCAGGGATTAGGAACAGTGGGAGCATCCATACACTGAAGGAGTGTTATTACAGTATGTGGATGACTTCTCTATAGCCACAGAAACAAAAGAAGAGTGCCTAGAATGGATGATTAGCTTCTAAACTTTCTTGGACTTAACGGGTACCGAGTCTCTCCACAAAAAGCGCAGATGGCTCAGCAACAAGTAACATATTTGGGTACAAAATTGCTGCAGGGATGCGGATACTTGGGACAGCATGAAAGGAAGCGATTTGCCAGACTCCTGAGCCACACATTCCTAAAGAACTTCCAATGTTCCTTGGAATGACGGGAGTGGTGCTGCTTATGGATCCCCAACTATAGAATGATAGTAAAACCTCTTTACACAATGTTAAAGTCCAGCTCAAAGGATTTAACCTGGGATGGAGAGGCCAGGAGGGCATTCCAGCTGCTGAAACAGGAACTGATGAAAGCCTCTGCCTTGGGACTCCCAGATGTCGCTAAGCTCTTCTTACTGCTCTCTCATGAGAAGCAGGGAATGGCACTGAGCGTGTTGGCACAAAGTTGCCCTCCATATTGGAGGGCAGTGGCTTACCTTTCTAAACAGCTTGATGAAGTGAGCAGAAGTTGGCCTGGATGTCTAAGGGCTGTTGCGGCTTTGTTAATTAACATTCAGGAAGCATGAAAATTTACGGTAGGATAGAAGATAACTGTATTGATATCACACAGTCTTCACAGTGCTAGGGGCTGAAGGGGGACACTGTCTCTCCCCTCAGAGATTTTTAAAATACCAAGCTGTTTTAGTGGAGCAAGATGATGTGGAAATAACAGTAACAAACATTATTAACCCAGCTGCCTTTAGTGGAAATATGGGTGAGCCCATATCGCATGACTGTCTAGAGGCTGTTGAAACTGTATATTCTAGCCATTCGGACCTGAAGCAGGAACCACTGGAAGATGCCAAAGATTCCTGGTATACTGATGGAAGCAGTTTTGTCCGACAAGGGATTCGCAGAGCAGGTTATGCGGTGACAACTGTTGATGGGGTGGTGGAAGCCGAAGCCCTGCCCCAAATACCTCAGCTCAGAAGGCCAGGATAATAGCTCTAACCAGGGCTCTGGAATTGGCAAAGGGGAAAAGGATGAATATATGGACTAATTCAAAATATGTCTTTGGTGTCATCCATGTTATGGAGCTATATGGAAGGAAAAAAGACTATTGTCAGCTCAGGGAAAAGGGATCAGGCATGCTGAAGAGATGCTCAGAGGCAGTACAGCAGCCAGAAAAGGTTGCAATTATGCACTGTTGGTCGCATCAGAAGGGGAACGACCCTAAAGAAAGAGGAAGTACGTTGGCCAATTGTGAAGCTAAACAAGTGGCAGAGGGTGAGGTGTTGGAGGCCTCCTTGATCCCAGATGGTAAAATCCAAGTGGACAGTGAGCCAAGGTACTCAAAAGAGGATTGGAATTTAATAAATGACCTAGAAGAGCAGGTGAAAGAGGAGGGATGCGCTGTCACACCACCAGGGAAGATAGTTATACCAACAGCCATATTACGGGCCTTAGTAATGACAGAACATAGGAAGACCCATTGGGGAGCTGAAGCATTATATAAATTCCTTACCCAACAAGTGGTAGCTCGGAATATGTATACTACTGTTAAGCAAGTAACCCAACAGTGTGAAGTCTGTTTACAAAATAACACTAGGAAAGGTCGT